GGATAACTCAGTGTGAGAACTCCCCAAGGGTGTCAGAATCAGTCCTGGGGAATTTAGAGACAGAGAAGCCCCATAAGTTGCTGGATTGTTCCCTGTTACAGCTATACTAGCATTTTGTTGGATTTTTAGCTTACAGTTGCAAATGTCCCTTCGAAACAAGAGCAGCTGCCCTCCTGAATCCCTTACACACGCAGCCCAGAACATGTAAAGCAGCAGTGGGACGTACAGTCTCATGATTCCATAGATGAATCAGTTAGCCGGATGGTCAGCATCACACAAAAGCACTGTCATGCCTGGCTCCAGACAGCTCGAAACAAAACAAAGTTACATTCACAACGACAAACCCCACCTGAAGGAGACATTCTGCCTTCTGTCTGACTAGCTGAAGAGTCAGGGGCCTAGAACCAGACAGTACAGCTATTTGTCCATCCAGTCCTACAGTGGCTAGGGAAGGAGTGATATATAATGGTCATTTACTACAGATTGATCTTGAGCTACTGGGGCTTCTAAACTTTTCCTTGGGAGTTGATCACAGCCTAATACATCTCAGTGTCTGGAAGTTTTTGCGGAGAGAGTCAGCTTAAATCTCCATTTGCTATTCGCCCATTCCCTCCTGGGCGGCAACATTCTGCAGTGACTGGCAGATTCACACATCTCCCCCAGTCATCCGCTAGTGAGGCTTCTTATAAGCTTTCCCCATAATTCATAATCCCCCCCCCCATCCTTTTTCATTTGCCCTTCTTTAAACTCCATCTAGCTTGCTGGGGGTTCTCCCAGCACCAGTGACTCCTCTTCTCCCTCTTTTGCACATACCGTGGTGTGAAACAGAATGGCAGCGTCAGCACTATAAACGCCTCCTAGAGTGGATGAGTGAGTGGCAGTGTAGGAGCAATGACTTTGAACATGCACAATCTCAGCCATGCTGCTGCAAGAACACTGCTTCAGGACAGCATCATTCAAGGTCAGGAGCTGGTTCCTTGCCTTCAGTCACCATGGGCAGCTGCTGACCTTACCTGCATCACTGAGACACTCAGTATGAGGCCTAGGCCCAGTGATTACCAGACAGATGCAAGCAGGCCAGAGCCATGTCCCAGGCAAGGCAAAAAAAAAAAGTCCAGTAGCCTTAGCCACTGCCAACGCCAGTCACCTTCGCACCATGCAGAGGAAGACTAAAACAGCATCTCCTCTGGACTGGGACCTGGATTAACTCGTGAATCCACCTAATCCCTGGTTATCAACCCTCCGTCTCCGGCACGTGATTTCTCATCAGCAGGCACGACACTAACCACGCTTCTGAAGAGGGAGGAAGTGAGGCTTCCCCTCCTCCGAGACACCACAGATACTTCGGCGCTACCAAAATAGCTCCAGCCCCATTTCTGTGTGAAGGAACTACCGAGACCGTTTTGCAGGCAGTAGGCTGAGCTGTGGACCCCCGAGCTTTGCCCAAGTAAGGGGCTGCAGACACCTGCTGTAAAAATACACTGCCATCTGCCCCCAGGCTTTCCCACAGAGATGAACCCTGTGAGCACCAGGACTCCCACCATGCAATGGGGCGCGGTTACTTAGGGCAATAGGAAGCATTGCATGCTGGGATATGTAGTCTATTCATCCAAATTGACATGGAGATTGCCAATAAAGCCATCAGTGTTGGAGGTATAGGCCTTAGCCTGGGGAATTGCAGGGGCCATGCTTTGGCTGCAGCAGAGTATTAGCCCAAGATGGTGAAAGCAGGAAGAGGAAATACCTTGGACATGGCACACATGGGGGAAGCTGAGGCATAACCTCAATGCTACAGGATCCACTTTGTCTCTACAGGGGTAGGGGAAGCAGTCAGTATCCCCTTGTTGGGAGGGCAGGGTGGAGTGCTCAGAACTGGAATGTGAATGAAAATGCTCTCATCAAAAGTAACTATGGGCAGCCTGCCCCACTGCCACCCCCCTTCTCCAGCTCCTGGGTGAGGGCCTGAGGCCGGGAGTTCCCCTGAGTCACTCCCTGAACAGAGGGTGAGTTCATTAGGAGCCTAGGCCACAAATAAAGCATTACTCTCCGGCCTGCCCAGTGCCAGCAACCAGACCTTTCCCAGGCTGGAAAACCCCTCTCCAGCTTTCACAGAGTCAGTCCACTGGGATCCAATTTAGCAAAGACAGACTAGACTGTCAGTTGAACAGGAGAAGCCGGACATTACCAGGCAGAGGCTAATGCCGGAATGCATGTGGGAGCTCACCCACCCAATTCTACCAACATCTGGGAAGAATCCCGATCCACAAACCTCCTTGGTATTCCTCAATCCTGATGGCAGTACCTCTGGGGAGGCCAGTCCTTGAATACCCGTCTCATAACTTTGTTGATCCCTCGCTCCTGACCTGCAACATTGCCGCTGTTCCAGCTCTGCCAGTGTACCTCACTCCTGACCTGCAGGTCCCCCCACCCCCGCTATTCTAGTCCTGGCATCTCCAAACCAGAAATCACCAATTATGAGGCAGAATGTGTAACTCAAACAAATGTGTCCACCAGGGATTAGACAGAGGCTTAACTCGTATCACTTGGGATCACACTCATTTTCTCCAGGCTGGCTAATACATTAACCCCTGCTGCATCACCAGAGCCCCCCTCATGGTTTCAGAGCAGAGTGAGTCAGTTTTGGCTCAGATGCTCCAATCGACTTTATTTACACGCACTCCTTTGACATAAGTTTCCATGGAAGGCTCTGGATAGGATTTCAAGTGGCTGGTAACAAGCTTATCTCTGAGGACAGAGCTCGCACTGACACAGGCTCTCAGGCAAGCCCACAGAGCATTACCGATTGGAAGAATATCATTACAGAGGTGCCACGAAAGGCACTGGGCACTCACAGCACATTCTATCCCAACAAGACCACAGATGGTTTGGCCGCTCAAGATCAGGGACTGAATCAAACACAGACAGCTGAGGAAACAGGAACTACTTGCTCTAAACCCAGGACTTTTGTGTTTTCATAATTAGATGGGTTACAAGGAAGTGATATTGCCCAATGAACCCGCTGAGAAATAATCAGCTTGATGCTAACTCTACCTTGCTGAGTGAATTCAAGCAAAGCACAAGGGGAGACAACTGCAATTCTCTTCACTGCTGCTCCTTGGCAATCTACAAGCAGAAATAGAGGCCTCTTGGGTCATCAAGTCTGCCTCCCTAGAACAACAAAACTGCATGTTGTTCTGGGCTGTCCTCTCATTCATTCATTCAGCCTTGCAAGCATTAGCCTCACTTTATACACACAGAAAAACTGAATGCAGAGAGGGGCGCTGAGCACTTGACATCTGCCTAGTTCAACTAGAATGGGGAGTGCTCGGCACTTCTGAAACTATCAGGCCCAGCTGCATCAGGAACGACATGCAGGAGTCCAGCCTCACTACTCTAACCACTATAGCACACTTCCTCTAAGAGTTAGAGTTATAACCCAGGAATCTGAACTCTTGGGTTATATCCCTCAGTCCGAATTCCATCCCACTTCTCTAAGCACTAACTCACAAAGGCCTTGCCATAAATAGCAGGCATTTCCCCCCCTCACTCCTTGCAATTTCCTGTTTTAAACAGCACCAGGGGGCAGAGAGAGAGGGCACTTGTGCAGTTGCAGCTGTTTGGACAGTGCAGGAAAGCCTCCTACTATTTGAGGGAGTGAAAAGTGCCACCAAGAGTTAATTGCTTCTCCAGTTAGCTGGAGGCTAATGGTCATGTCAGCATGACAAGCAAGAGCTTCAGTAACCCTATAAAATGGATCCAGATAAAGCAACATAAGGTCTCTCCAACTGACTTCATCTTCTAGACACAGTGGAGAATGATCCCCTGGCACCACTGTGACTTTGTGGCTTGTCTGGATCTTCCATTGACCTAGCACTGTCTATTCCTGGGATTAGGTCAACCTAACTACAGTGCTCAGGACACACATTTTTTCACAGCCCTGTGCAACACCTCAATCTGATTTGCAAATGTAGACGAGGCCTTAGGCTAATAACATCCAAAGCTATAACACACAAGTACAAGAGATGCAGGGTTAAACTACTGCCTCAGTAGGGGCACAAAAATCCATTCAGCCAGAGAACCTGCAAAGCTGACAGGTTAGCTGCCTAAGTAATTTTAGGTCGAGGAATATGAGTCACATATTGTGCTGTAGCCAGCTCACCCATGTTCCCCCAACATGGTTCTATCCTGCATCACAGAGGGAACTAAAGTGTTTCATAATCACGTCTTTTCCTACATATCTCATTTGATCATGTGGCTACAACCTAAAACATCCCATGCAGCTGCTATCCAGACCTTTGTGTTCTCCCAGGTGAAAGGGGAAGATTTTTGTGCATGGACCTTGTCTCCCATTTCCTGACAGACACAAAACAAGAAGAAACCCAGCTTCACACTGGCACATGTATTTCTGTATCATTCTGACTACACGTCCCATCCAGGGCCCTAACTCTGCTGCTCCCACAGCCCAGAACTGAGAAGTAAATGCCAATTTCCTTTTTTCTGTGCTTGTTCTATTTGACCTGGCTTAATTTTAGATGGACTGATAAATGCCCAGTCCATTTCACTGGGCATGTGTGACTATGGAGAAGAAAAAAGGGTGACTCTGGGAGATAGGACATGGAATCTTCCACTGACTGTCCCTCAATTACAGTCTGGCTCCCAGTCTAAAGATTTGCAGCTTCCCATCTTGGTCGAGTCCAGGGGGCAGGCAGGCAGGCTAGGGAATGAACACAGATCGCAGACCCCCGCCCCTCTAGTAAGCCACGGGTCAATGTGACTGTAGAAACGCCGGGGCTGGAAATCGTTTGCATTTAATGGCCGTTTGGTGGCCCTGTGCGAGATGAGCGGCTCAGTCTCCAAGTCTACACCGCCGAGCAGGACTAACAGGCTCTCTTGCTCTCCCGGCCTAGGGCAGAACTGGGCCACAGAAACTCGGCTCCCCTCCCTGGGGCGTCCCTCCCGCACCTGGGGGAGAGCAGGGCACTAGCCACAGGGTCACTCACGTGTCGCCGTCCTCCGAGATGTAGGTGAGCGCCTCTAGCTGCTGCTGGCTGAGCCCCTCCGCGGCTTCCTCCTCCTCCTCCGGGAACTGCCCCAGCGCGGTCAGGGGCTCGGTGAGGGAGGCCGAGCCATAGGTAGAGTCGACCCTTTCCTCCGCCTCCAGGGCGTCGGTTCCCTCTTTGCCCAGGGGGCCGGAGTCCTTCTCCCGCAGCGTGTCCCCGAGGCCCGGGGGGTGCTCCCCTTCCCCCGGCGGGCCGGGCAGGGAGCGGATGGAGGGGATCGAGTAGATGCCCGAGTCACATTGTCCTTCTTCCAGCTCCGAGCCCTCCTGCTGCGTCTCCTTCCTCGCAGCGTGTCCGAGGCCCGGGGGGTGCTCCCCTTCCCCCGGCGGGCCGGGCAGGGAGCGGATGGAGGGGATCGAGTAGATGCCCGAGTCACATTGTCCTTCTTCCAGCTCCGAGCCCTCCTGCTGCGTCTCTTTCC